GACATGTTTAAACACAATAAATATAAGCAACACATTATCCAATGCTTTTTACTTTTGCATTTACTTCTAGATTTATATATTAAGTTGCTCAAGCAAGTGGCAAAACATTTAAACTACTTTTCTTACGTTATCACAAACTTACCATTGACAGAAATAGTCAGCTCTACTGGCCTTTCCTTTTGCATTGAAATCTTTATTAGAAGCAATCCTGCGGTTCATAAAGAACTTTGTTTTCCTACCTCCACGAGTGCCATCTATTATTGCCTTGTTTATCTAAAAGTGCTCTTTCCCTTTAAACCTAGCCAAAAAGCCATATGTGTTGACTGTGAAACACAGCAGAATTTAATAATATACATTTATGGTGTAATTACTACATTTTCGTGTCAATCCATGTTTATATTTTCTGCAAACAATCCACTGTTACTTTAATTCAGTGCTTGCAGCGCAGCAATAGACTAGGTGCAAAACCGAGCACTGCACTGCTGCAGACGCACCGCTCCTGGAACGCACTGCCGGACAGCAACCGTGTGCAGTGAACGCTTTAATCCATTAACATGAGCGAGAAAAAAATACGCACCACGTATGAGCGCGGAAAAAATACGCACCGCATACGCACTGCAAACGGAGTGAGTGTGAACTTGGCATTATGTGTGTGCGCTGCGAATTAAAAAGAAATGCAATTTATAAAATTTAGTGACGATGTGACACTGCCTCGATTGTGCAAGTGACAATTCCTGTGTCAACTGTGCAGCGTGCAGCTCGCTTATAGTCAGATGCGATGTGTGGTGATTTGAAGCCATTTGCGTATTTTGACAGAAAAAAAAGAAAGCGCGCACGCGCGGTGATTCACTCACGCTTTTTGTGAAATTACGTCTCACACAAGGTTTTCAAATTACTTTATAAGTTATTTAATGAAGAAATATGAAGGCAAGTACCTCACCTTCAGCATTATAATTATTTCACCCGCGCCGGACAGAGACTGTGCCGCTGCATGTCGTGCCAAACCTCTCACAGCAGTCGCGTTATCAGCTTGAGATCGTTTTTTTGAGATCGGCCTTTTTAGAGACCGCCGATCAAACATCCCAACGTGATTATCGGCCGATACTGATCGGTAGCCGAACAATCGGAGCACGCCTAGTATATTGTATATAATAATTTATTGTAGGGCTGCACGGTACATCGTTTCAGCATTAACATCGCAATGTGCGCATGCACAATAGTCACATCACAGGAGGTGCGATGCAGGACTCGCATGGTTCTATATTTCCCTGATATAAAGTAATTAATTCTGATTTAAGGGTTCTTAAAAAAAACTAAAGTGCACGTTTGCTGCTTCACGTTTTTGACATGCAATCTCTGCTGCACATGGCGAAATGAGCGAGGAATGGGAGAAAAGCACAGAAATGGAAGATTTGGTCGCAAAAAGAAACGCATCGTCAGTTATATGGCACTAGAGACCAACAGTCTATGCTTCGCTTTTCTGTTAAAAATAACAGTGGTTTGTGAATGTTGCTTAGCCTAAATAACAAATATTTTATCGGGAGCATTTATGCTGGGATGTTGTGGAACTTACGAAATATTACAGAACTATTTTATGTAAATTTCATTGATGTACTGAAAAACAAATCTATATTACTTTTATGTGGGCTTTTGTGGGTGGGAGTGGGACAAAACATGAATGTAGCGGGCGGGAGTGGGACGAGATAACATTTCTGCAGGAGCGGTGCGGGGGCGGGACTGAAAAATCCATCCTGCGCAGATGCAGGTTTCATTTACAAATTAGCTCCCTTATTTTAGGGTAAGAAGCAACATTCATTATTAATATCATAACATATTACATCCTTTATTTGCCTGAATTGATAGTGAATAAGATGAGTCAAATAGTGTGTTAAACAACCCAAAACAAGGCAAAAAGTCATTTTTCAGGGTTTTAATTATTCTTTTTTTTATTATATTTATTTTCTACGAAGATGCCTACAAAATCACCCCAATTGTTGTAGAATTATGATTTAATTTTTGAGCAATTCAAGACATCTGATGTCTTGAATTCAAGACATTCCTATCTTTCTACACATATAGCGCAGAAAAAAAAAGGTTATCACAATGTAAATTTTTTTCTAATATCGTGCAGCCCTAATTTATTGTGACAATTAAATTTGGATCTGGACAACTTAAGTAATTTCACTTCTAGTACACAATTTTAGGAGCCAGTGGCTACTAATACATTTTTAGTTTTAAACTGCAGGATAAAAAAAGAATATAAAACTACTGCTAGAAAGTCTAAATATTAATATTTATAATTTAATTTAATAATAATTTGAAAGGATCCAAGAAAGCATGAGGGCTTCCTTTGTGATGTTACACAAAAGAGAGATAAAAGGTCTATCTTGGGTACAATGACCTCTAACATTTGCTTAAACAGCGATTTGTACACAGCCCTACCTATGCATGTCAGCTCACATCTAAACCGCCTAATAATCTAACAATCAGAATTGTAATATACATCTAAATTAAATTGTGCTTTCACGGATTCCACTTTAATCTATTTAAGTGATCCTGAAAGCTCAAAACTCAGCTGTGCCCTCTTAACTTGGAAGTATCTTTTTTATTTTTTTTATTTTTGTCACCATTAGCTCCACACTTGTGTCACATTTCAAAGATTACAAATGATAAATGACACAATGAGAGGAAATAAAGGACTTGTTAGTCTCATGACCTGGGTCAAGGGGTTTATCCATTAAAAGAAAAAAAGGTGTGGGAAAGAATGTCATTTAGTGTGGAGCAGATTACCTAACCTGAGCCAAATTTACAGTTCAAAGGGTCCGGGGCTCTTCAACCTATAGCATAAATAAAATCTTTAGCATAAATAAAATCCTTAGTGCATTTACAACAATGCAAAATCGATCAACAATCCAATTTTCCAGGCTTTTCGGTCACACATGTAACTTTGCCCAGACCAATTATTTATAAATCACCAATTAATTTGAGTCCCTTCACTGAAATCTCTTTGTTCGCTAAATGCTGCTACATTATATACATTATATTGTCTGATCTAAATATTTAAAAACTATATAGAGTCCCTTAAATGGTTACTTTTTGTTAGTATGTACTTGTGGTACAGCCTATTATTTTTCAAATTTGCATTTCTTTCCCACTGGTTAATAATCAATTGTATAAATTAGTGCTGGGCAACAATCACGAATAATCGCATACAAAATAAGTTTTTTTTTGTGTACATAATGTATGTGTGTGTACGGTGTATATTTATTATGTATATATGAAGACACACACATACAGTATATATTTAGAAAATATTTACATGTATATTTATATTCATATAATTGATATTATATATAAATATATTTAATATGTAAACAACATTTTTCTTAAATATATACATGCATGTGTGTGGATTTATATATACAAAAATATACACCGTACACACACATATGTGACCCTGGACCACAAAACCAGTCTTAAGTAGCACGGATATATTTGTAGCAATAGCCAAAAATACATTGTATGGGTCAAAACTGATTTTTCTTTTATGCCAAAAATCATTAGGATAAAGTATAGATCATGTTCCATGAAGATATTTTGTAAATTTCCTACTGTAAATATATCAAAACTTAATTTTTGATTAGTAATATGCATTGCTAAGGACTTCATTTAGACATCTTTAAAGGTGATTTTCTTAATATTTTGATTTTTTTGCACCCTAAAATTCCAGATTTTCAAATAGTTGCATCTCGGCCAAATATTATCCTATCTTAACAAACCATACATTAATATAAAGCTTATTTATTCAGCTTTCAGATGATGTATAAATCTCAATTTTGAAAAATTGAGACTTATGACTGGTTTTGTGGTCCAGGGTCACATATATTATGTACAATAAAATGTTTATTTTGGATGCGATTAATCGCGATTAATCGTTGCCCAGTACTAGTATAAATGTATTTCTTGATAAAGGTGATTTTCTCAATATTTAGATTTTTTTTTTGCACCTTAAGATTCTAGATTTTCAAATAGTTGCATCTCGGCCAAATATTATCCTATCTTAACAAACCATACATTAATGGAAAGTTTATTTATTCAGCTTTCAGATGATGTATAAATCTCAATTTTGAAAAATTTATGGTCCAGGGTCACATATATTATGTACAAAAAAACTTTTATTTTGGATGCGATTAAACGTTGCCCAGTACTAGTATAAATGTATTT